GCCACAAGCCCTCGGCTGCCATGGAGTGGGGCTCAGCCAGTGTGTCCCTGTGTGCCACACACCATGCAGACATGCTCTGAAACCACATTTTCTGTCTTCCTGCCAGCTTCATGTTCTCAACTTCCTTCTGGTTTGCATCAGGGGAAATTATAGGTGATTCAAGCCAAGGAAAGTTTTGTTTCATCGTTTAAATTCTTCCTAGAAGAAACAACATGTGGCTGCAGAGCAGGGATAAGGGAGTGCCGGGTATCAAGCTGAGCACACGCCACCACAGGGTCCCCACCCTGCAGCCCACGCCGCCGGGTGCTCCACGGGGGGAGACAGGTGGCTCCTGGGAGGGAGAAGTGCCAGGGCATTCCCCAGCGGGCAGTGCCCAGGCTCCAGCCCTGGAGCAAGAGAAAAACTGGAGCCTCAGCTCCTCAGACACAGCAGGGGTGCTGGGAACCCCTTGGCCCTGCTCCTCAGACACAGTGGGGGTGCTGGGGACCACCTGGTCCTGCTCCTTGGACATGGTGGGGGTGCTGGGGACCCCCCGGCACTGCTCCTCAGACGCAGAGGATATGCTGGGGACCCCTATCCCTTGCTGCCAGACCCTGCACCGCTCTAACAGCAATGAAACTAAAAGCAAAGAGAAAACCTGTAACCTTTGCTGCAGTGCATGGAAGAGATGGGCGAGAGAACGCTCTATGACACAGGATGGTAACACTTTGCTGTTCCCAGCTCGTTCCCATAATACTTGTCAGGGCACAGGGAGGGTGGCTCTCAGTATGCCAGCTTATGCCAGACTCACGGAGCGAGAAGTACTCACTGAGAAAGCAGCTGGTGGGGCACCTTTCCCAATACTGCCCTTGCAAGGTTGCCTTACCTTTCTCTTTTGCACACACAGAAACGGCCACTGGAGAGAGGAGCCGAGCACCCGGTGCTCCTGGGGTATGAGGTGAGGCTGTCCTCAGGGGACTTGTGTTTGGGTGTTTGAGTATGCACGAAGCATTTTAAATAACTCATATTTACAGCAATGACCCAGTAGCAATTCCCTGCCAGGGAGTCTCCAGTAACAGCCAGCCCTGCAGGGGCCAAGCCAGGCAGACGCTGCAGAGGAGGGGATCCAAATCGTTCAGGCTTCCTGCTAAGCCTCACAGCTCTATTTATGACTTTACCACCAGTCAAGATCTTAAAGAAAAAGCTTTTCTGCTGCAGGAGCCCCTTTCCCCTCACCCGCTGGCCCCCACTCGAGTTTGTGGAGCCATCGAATGACTCATCGAGGGCCTGCGCTCCCATGGCGGGGCCAGGGCTTCCCACACAGTGACAGCACTATTGCCAACGCTAGCCAGCTTTTTTCCTTCTGGGAACAGCGTCTGGGCTACACCAGAGGTCAGGACTACCCTCTCGCAGCCTTTTCCCCTATTTATGCCAAGCGAGCTCCGGATACTGGTGTGAGCCAGGCTGCAAACAGGGGTGCATCCCTCACACAAGGCTCTGGAGGAGGTTTTTAGTTTGCATGAGCAAAAAACCCACAGTGAACCGTTAACCTCACCCATTGTTGGGCTATAGCACTGTGGGAAGCAGCAGGGAGCAGTGGCAGTGACACAGAGCCCACATTTGAAGCCATCTCTCTCCTCCAGGCCCATCCGTTGGGCCAGATTCTGCTCCCCAGTGCCAGCCCAGCATCCCACAGCCACCCCTGCGTCCAGAGGATATTACCAGGCAATGTCCACCCATGGGGTAATTTTCTCCTCAGCTCTGAGCATCTTTCCAGAAAAGTCCACATCCAAGAAAATATTGACTATGTGGCTGCAGTGATGTTAGGATGAACTGAGACAGAGTGCTGATGTCTCTCCTCAGTATTTCTCCAGATCAGGCTATGAAAAGCAGCTTGCCAAACACATTTTTACTAGCAAACTACAAAAAAAGTGGGAGAGATCTGTGAGGGAGCTGTTAGTTTACTGATAAACTCGCTACTTGTGCCAAAGCGTTTCGGCCAGTCCTAGTTAAAATTGCCTGTGTCCTATAACATAGCCTGTCCTACCAAAGGTGGCTGCCCAGTTTGCCACTGGTTACACTGAAACCTTGAGAATGACTCCCTCGACATCAACCTGTGAGCGGTGTTTTGTAGGAACCCATGCAGCCAAGTGGGAAACTGGGAAGGTGCTCGTGGGAGCAGGGAGGCAGCACTGCCACAGGGAATGCGTGATCACAGCCCCGTGCTCCTGCCCTTCTCCTGTGGGCATCACCTGGGGAGTGCCAGGGCCAGGCCCTTCTGCACATTTGTCCGGGTATGGGGCACCCATGGACACTTGGAGCTGGCAGCACCGGCAAAAGGATCACAAGCACCAGGGTTGCAGTCACAGCAAGCATTGGAAGCCAGACCCTATACAATACAGGAATAAAACTATTTCTGTTATAATACAAATAATGAAAAAAGTGTGATTACTGACTGTGCATCCCTCTGGCATATGTCAGGTATCATTAACCTGGATTTTGAAAAATTTGCTCTAGGGACATCAAAAGCATCCTTTTAATCTGCCCAAAAATATGATGCTTTAATACAGAGTTAAAAATCACTTATAACTGCTGGGAGGTATTTGGCTTGAGCAGAGCAATGGGCACAGTTTGCATGGAACATATTCCCCTTATTGAGGTGGTGGCAGGGATGCTGTGACCACTGAGTGCCACAAGCAGGGAGCTGTTGAGCATCTGCCTCAGTGGGGAGGTAGAACGTGCTGCAGCAGCCAAAGTTACACAAGCCCTACAGGGAAACAGCTTAAACTGCACCCTTTCCACCAAAGGGAAGCATCAAAACGTTGATCCCAATCAAATGCTCATGGTACATTTATTATTTCTGACCACTTGTGCCATGTTCTGCTGCCTTCTGCTAAACTCCTGCTTGGGTCGTTATTTCCCACTGACTTGAAGTTTTTGTCATGCAGCAGATCCCATCCCTGGAACAGGTGCCCAAATCCTTAATTCATAACCACATCAGCTGGATTAAATAAACATGAGTGGAAGATAGAAATTCACTTTTCCCTGCTCAAGGGAAGGTGCTGGCCCAGGAAGGTCAGCACATTTCCATGGTGAACTTGGAGATTCCTGTGACCGCAAAGGCTGCTAAGCTTTTTTAGTTCCTTTATGATTAAATAATAAAACCCAAAACATAAGTACTTCTTGTTAGTGACTCATTTTAAGTAGACCACAGGGCATGTCAGAGGATGCCACAATGATGGATATGTCAGCAGTGGGAAATAATATCACTTAAAAGCAGAAATCCACTTAGTTTTCTGCCTAAATGCAACAAGTGTGCTTGGATCCCTGGGGGAGTTAAGCAGAAGTGCTGGTGTGGTAAGGAGAAGGTTCACAAACTCATTGCTTATGTCCTCCTTTCATTCAGTAATCTAAGTTCAATGAGGACTCGATGTATACATTGAGAACAAAAGCCTGTTCTCAAGAGTGAACTTACCCAGTCAAGGGAAGTGCCTAGCACCTTTGAATCCTCCAATTCAACCTCTGACCCACAGCTTCAGCCACTGACCCCCATTTCTGGTCACATTTGAGTTTTGCATTACAAAGCTCGGCTTTGCAACAGTTAATCTTGATTTTTGCATCCCAAAGTGGCTTTGCAACAGTTAATCTTCATTTTTACATCCCCAAGTGTTTCGTGATGAGCCTGGACATGCTGCTTGGGGCAGCAGCTCTGCCTTGGGAAGGTGGCCAGGAAAGGGGCCCAGGTGTGTTTGGGAGCAGCAACACAGTCTGGGCAGGGCAGGAACACCCCAGCACCCTCCTATCTCCTCCTGGTTTCCCTTTGCCTGCGAAAACGGTGCTTAAGGCTGCCCAGATCCCAGCCTGCTCTGACAAGTTGAGCTGAGTGGGTGAGCACCTGTGAATATACTCCTCATGTGATCAGGAAAATTATTATTATTATATTAATAATAATAATAGTGATGGTAATAATGAGCCAGCATGGTGTGCTGGGTTTTCCACCAGCAAGGCAGCATCACACCCCAGAGCACGTCATGAGCTGCTGTTGCTGTCCACACTCAGAGCAGCAGCAGGACGCCCCCCCACACCCATTCTCCAGCAGTTCTGCCCCATTTCTGTTACCTGCAGTGAATCCATTGCCCTGCTCTGGTGTGTGCTACCCACAAGAAAGCAGTCCTGGCTGCAAGCAGGTGAGCGGAGCATGGCATCCATGCCCGTGGATTTCTAAAGTATTCCCACAGCAGAGAAAAGAGAGACAAACATGCAAGGAGGGGGCAGAAGAAAGTGATTTTGTGAAAGGAAGAAGTGCTGGTTCATTGCGAGAGTTTGGGGCTACCCAAGTTGGAGGGCATGCCTGGGCCTCCCGCACCCACGGTCTGGGGGGAACAGGGCTTCGGCAGCCAGTTTTCAGGGAGCTAGGAGTGACACTGAGCTTCGAGTCACTGACCAGCCTTTGTTAACAGGCCATCACCCCAGGGACAATGCTCATTTATTTATTTTTTTAGATACAAATGGCACTATTGTGTGATTTGGTTTTGATCTTCTCCTGCTGGAAGTGATTCTGTAACTCCAGTGCAGTCAATGGGTTTTAGTGACATAAACCAGTGTGGGAAC